CAACTTACTGGCAAGCAGAGAAAAGGCCAGGAAGCCCTACAGTCTTGGAGCATGGGGGAAAGGCAGGTAGGGAGGAAAGGGAAGGGGTAAGAGTTGGGGGGGGCTGCTCAAAACAGGAAGTACAGAGGCATGTTTGTTCATTTGCTTATCAGTTCAATCTATGCAGCTTAGACTGATCTGTGAAGATTGAATCAATTCAGCCTGGGGCTTTTTGACTATCTCTACTTAGTCTCTGGGCTTTATTCTGCATGATAAAAAACAGTAGAAGTTTTGTCTTTGACTTCAGTGGAAGCAGGATCAAGTCCTAAGATCACCTGGTGCTTTTGAAAAGAATAGAAGTATTGAGCCCTAACAAGCAAAATACCTGTCATTCATAAATGCTAAAATAAGAGCTAAGGTTCCCATTTCAGCCTTTCTCAAACAGATACAGGAATATTTCTTCATGTGACTGACAACCATATTTCCAGGGCTGTTTGTGGGTGACATTGCACTGGTAGCCAATCAGAAAATCAGTTGTTTAGGTACCAGTTTATTTAATAAGCTGCCAATCCTAAATGAGCCACCATGTAAAAAATAATATTTATTTTACTGCTATATTACTCTTGTTTACAGATCTATTGTAGCAGTTCTGCTTTTTTCTTGGAGAAACCAGATGTACAAAGCTCATCTGTTGAGAGCAAGGAATTTTTTGCTGGCATAAAGGTACTCAGGAAAGAAAACAATACTTTACTGTATCGCAATAGATGCCTTTCTGATTATGGTTGTTAATTACAGCTATAGAAGTAGACGAGGTATTCTATAGGGTTTTTTTGTTTACTAAAATAATTCCTCATTTAAATGTTATTACTTTTTTTGTTTTCCATTGTTTTACTTCAGTCACAGTAGCTAAAAAGTCATAATGCTGGGAAGGTGAGCAACAAAGATGTTTATGACCAGGGAACACACAAAGTAAATTGATTGTAAACTAACAGAGCACATTCTTCAGCTGCACTGGGTTCAGATTTAGGAGATGGTGGGCATATCTACCTAAGAAGCTATGTCTCTGTAGCAATGAGCTATAGCAACATAACATTGGTGGGCACAAACTGTGATGCCAACACTATGTCACCATAGCTATAGTGCATCTCTAGGGCAACATACGTACTAAAAATAACTGTGTGCTGCCGGGATGGTGCAATAATGGCTGTTACTGCACTATCTTTAGTACTTCCTAAAATAATTATTAAATGATGATGGAGTAACAATTGCACTGCGGGGAGGGCATGTGCAGAGGCACCCAATGTGAAGTCAAAATTATTTTCAATGCCCCTTCAAATACTGGAAGTTGAGAATGATTGAATCAGTCACTGGCATAGGTTGAAGCAGGCCAGTGGCTGATCTGACATCTGTGAGCTAGAATTGCCCCCTACTGTCTGTTCTGCTTATTTTTATGCCCTTTTACTATTTTCATTGACTTCAGTGGGACTGTAGTGTATAAAAGTACACCCACATAAATACTCTTCAGGTTCAAGTTGCAAAGGAATGCCACATGTGTTTAAATTCTGCAATGTGCTTTATAAAATGTGAACACATCATTTTTCTTTTCTCATTATAATTTTATATGCAAAATTGCAACCCCCTTTCAGAGCTAGTTTAAGGTCTCTCTAAATTTAGCCCAACTGTATGTATTTATTTGTAAAGCTATATGAATCTATATATCAAGTTTATAGAAACTTATTGAAGGAGAAATACTGTGTTTGTTTTTGGGGGGATACTGCTTTTAACAAAAGATAGCTTTATAAATCACTTTATACAGCTATAAAAAGTTGTTTGTATTTTAACTTTTCAAAAGTTATCCAGAAAATGCAGTTTTTTTCTTATTAATATAGTTCACACAATTGGAGAAAAACGAATTTCATTCTCAGTATAACCTTTTATGTTAGATGCAGCCTGAGGCACTTGAAATATCAGAAGATGGGAAGGAATACAAATTAACAATAGAAAGTACAGTTCCTATTCCATGTCCTCAATTTAGCCAACTTGAAAATGACTGCAAAATCTCATTAAAATTAAAAACTATTGAGCAAGGTAATTATTGTCCTAATTTTTGTGTATTTCTAAGAATTTCCTCTAAACTTGGGTGGGAGGTTGTTTTAGGGGTCTTTTTGAGAGGAAATGTGACGGTATGTACAAGATATGGTATAATATATCTATGGTCAGAGACTATATCTACTGCCATCTAATGTATTGAGACTCAGAGGCTAGGTCCCACACCAGTTAAAAGTCAATAGGAAACTTTCTCTTATCTTCTGTGAACATTTCATTAGGCCATCTGCCTCTGACTTCAATAATAAGAGGATTGGGCCCTGTGGTTATGCATTGCTAATTTTGTCACAGCAGCCAGGGAAGCAAAGAAAATGTGCGATAAAATATGATATTCCATTCTTGATGCATTGCATTTCTTTACTTTTGGCACTACCAAGTAGACTAGCTGTGTAGTAAAGAGTCACTGTCTACACGTGCACCAGCATTTGGGTATAGCAAACTAATTAACTCTGCAGTAAAATAGTACTATCTTACGGCAGAGTAATTAACTGCAATCAAACTCATGCATGGACAATGATATATTGTGCCTGGTCAGCCCAGCTGGAGACCAGTCTCCTGCCTCTTGCCAGCCCCTTCATTGCCCAATGCTACCACCCAGAACCTGGAGCTGACTCCCCATGCTTCCTGCCACCCCAGGTCTGCTTGACCCCGACTCAGATTCCTGCTGTCCTGGGTGTACATGTAGACCTGAGCCCAGGAACAGTTTACTCCAGCTCAAAGTGCTCTGGAGTTTATTGCTTCACCTCAATTGCACGTGTAGACTTGCCCAGTGCTGCAGTCTTTATTCTTAACTATCATTATACATCCCCTGTAGTCCTTAGTCAATCATAACATTAAAACAGGAGTTTTGTCTAGGGAAAGACATTTTACATTTCTGCATAAGATCAGTAAGATTCTAGATGTAAAATTCAAGATCTGTGTATGGTTATCTGTGTAACTTTTAAAAATAGTAAGGGTGTACCAATAGAGATTTTTGGGGCTGATACTGATAGCTGATATTTAAGGAGGCATATCAGCCGATACCGATATGATTTCTGATACAGCTGCCTCCAGCTGTTAAGTCTGGTGTGATGGAGGGGGGAGGGAAGCAGCATGGGAGGGACAGATCAACACCTCCTGCAGTAAGGGAGGGGGCAGGGGCAGGCAGTGCCCAGGTGGGGTGGTGGGGAGTGGAGCCATGTCTCCTGGTGGGGGGAGGTGGCTCCCACCACTGCTTGCTCCCCAGGAGGGGAGGGGGTTCCCCCCCAGATCTTTGCGGAGCAGAATGGGCTGCAATCGGGGTTGCATGGGGCTCTTCTTGGCAAGGGCTGGGCTCAAAGCGGGCACTGGCAGCATTGGAAGGATGCTGCATC